GAAACCAAAACAGGTTTTTAGAACATTGTTTGGTAGGGCTATAGGTGAGCCAGGACGCTTCGCCGCTGCTGGATACTCGCAAATGGCCTGAATCGGCCGCAGGGGATCTACGATGAAGTACATCGAAGCAGGCATGTGTTTTTCGGACGTGTGCGAGTGGGCACTTTGCGAGTCGTGGAACGCGCTCGGCAAGGAGGGAGCATCCGACACACCTCCCGCCCTGGGCGAGTGCTGGCGGGGCCCAGTCTGTCGTTGGCTCGCCCTGCATCGAGAAAAGGCGTACAGTCAAAATCTGTAGTAAGGACGCGCTGTAAGGACGCAAGAGCCTTGGACGGTCCTTGGACGCCCCAGTTCGAGCTTTTCTTGCAGCGCACTGCCGAACAAATCTAAGGACGCAAGGGTGCCCTTGGGAAGCTGACCCGTCCCTACTATGGGTGTTCACTGTAAGACTCGGGTTAGGGGGACTCTGGTTGGCCCGACCAGGCCATCATCAAGATGACGCTACCCACTGTGAAACTTGACGCGGGCTCCCGCTGCAAACATCCCACACGAGAACTGGACCGTCAAAATCCAGGGCGCGCTCGTCACAAAGCGTCGGCAAACCCGAGTTCCGGCGTACTCGACTCTTACGTTTCCCCGACTGTACTCCGCCATCCTCCATTCATTCATGCGTCCTCCCACCTCCCTCCTGCCGCCTCCCTCCTCCCTCTGCCCACCTGCGCCACCTGCCCTCCCTCCCCACGCCTCGCTCCTCCGACCTCCCTCCGAGGGAGAGAAGGAGGGGCTGAGAGGAGAGGAGAGGAGAGGAGAGGAGAGGAGAGCAGAGGAGAGATCGGGGGAACGACGAGGAGACAAGGACTTGCCATCGCTCGGACGTCCATTCCCCGAGTACTTTGCGACATCGTGCGCGTGTTCTGTTCGAAGATGCTCCAGGATGTCCCTCTGTGGCCCTCGCCGAGATCAAACGCACGCCTCCGGGAGAGATGCCCAGAGGAGAGGAGAGGCACGGAGAGACCGAGCGAAGGAGACAGCCGAGGGTGGGGAAACCAGAAGGTATCCATACAGCTGCTCCCCGGACCTCTCCTGGGGTGCGCTCTGCCTAGCATTTCGAGGCGAATCCAGCGGTGGCGGCGAGGGCCTCCCAGGAGGCCCCAGAGGGCGCAAACTGGGGCAGGGGGCAGCGGTATGGGTACCTCTTGCTCCTCTGATAAGTGGCCCTCGCCGAGATGACATGCACACGCCCGAGCGATGCCAAGAGGAGGAGAGGCATGGAGAGACCGAGGGCAGGAGACCGCCGAAGGGGGCACGAGGAGCGCAGCAAAAGGCGGGGAGGTGGGCAGCCGCGGAGCAGCCCGCGCCCGCCCTCCCAAGGCCCGACCGGCCCGAAGAAGGCGCCCACCGCGACGACCGCCGCCAGCCCAGCGGGCCCACGCATGCCTGCGACCGGCTTTTGGCCGCGGGAGCTTGTGACGCTGCGCGGACACAGATCAGGTAATCGTTGCGTCTTGTGGCTCAGGAGAAAAGTGAAGAGGCCGACTTAGCCGTGAGACAAACACATTACGCCCGGCTGGCGCAGCGGAAGAATTACAGGAAGGGAAAGAGGGCAAGGCAAAGGACAGTGAGCCCGCAAGGGCAAAGAGTATGCGCCAGCCAGACGGTGAAGAAGAAGAAGAAGAAGAGACCGCGGGAGCTCGGGCCCCTCCCCCATTCGCAGCCAGGCCTGAGCTGCCTCGAATCGCGACATCGAGCCGTCTCGAATCGGATCCTCAGCGGCCCTGGGAGGGCAGACGGGCCACCCTCACCATCAGCACCCCGTCTCGGGCCGTTGACGAGAGGCACCCAAGACAATGTGGGGTCGAGCGAGCTGGCCCCCCCAGGAGGAGAAGGAGGAGGAGGAGGAGGAGGAGGAGGAGGAGAAGAGGAGGAGGAGGAGGAGAAGAGGAGGAGGAGGAGGAGGAGAAGGAAGAGGAGGAGGAGGAGGGGGGGGCGGAAGAGGAGGAGGAGGAGGAGGAGGAGGAGGAGGAGGAGGAGGGCATAAACAATCGCGTACGTAAACACAGTTTCGGAAGTCCGAACGGATCTCCTGGGTCGGCGCTGGATCCCCCCGTTCAGACCCCCCGTGCGGCGACTCTGGCCGCCACCCATGGCGCGCTCCGCGCGCCGGGGAGGGGGTGTCCAACGGCGATCCAGCAAATCTCCGCGCGGAGCCTCTGACAGTTTCTGTTTACGCAATGTGCTCTTCTTTGGTTGATCACAACAGAGCGGGTTGGCGGCCCGCAGAAGAAGCACCCCAAATATCAGCCGCGCGCCGGGGAGGGGGTCTTCCAGCGACGATCCATTAAAAAAATCCGCGCGGAGCCTTCGGTTAAGAGGGTGGGTGGGCCAGCCGCAGAATAAGCACCCCAAACAAAAGTCATATCTGTCCACATTCGTGCTAACGCCCGTTACCGGCCTCGCCCACCCAGCCCCACCCACCCCCCCCCTCGCCCCGCTGGTAACGGCATGATTCGAGCCGACGCCGTCTGGGCACTGGCCATTCCTAAACATTCAAAATCATTCTGAGACGGGTTTGGCGCGAATCGTGCGGTTACTGCCCCCCCTGCCCGACCCCCGCCCCCACTCCCCCTCTGGCCTCCTGGTCGCGTGATGATTCGCGCCAGCGCCGTCTGGGCACCGGTCATTCCCGACTTCCTGAGCATCCCAGAGCCTTCTCGGCCGGCGCCGGCGCGAGTCGGCCCCGTACTGGCCCCCCCCCCCGCGATGACGCCCGTGACCAGCCCCGCCCCCCTCCTTCCCAGGCCCCGCCTCCCCCCCCTGGCCGCCGTCTGGAAATGAGCACTGGTCAGACGGCGCCGGCGACAATCGTGCCATGACCAGCCCTCTCCGCCGCCTCCCCCCCCCCCCCGGGTAACGCCCGCGATCGCCCGCCAACGCCCTCCCCTCCCGGCAACACCCGCTCGAGTGGAGGCCAGTCCACAAGGAAACCTTCCACAAGAAACCCAACCCTGAGACCCCAGGGCGTCCATGCATATTCGGTGTGGGAGCGTCACGAGTTCCATAGAAAAACCATCGAAGCCCAAGAATCCCAGGGCACCCAGGAGGCAAGCAGAGTGTCTCTTGGCATGGGCCTCCACTGTTACGCCCTTCCCTCCCGGTAACGCCCGCTATTGCCGTGCAAATCTGAGCATTCCAAAGCATTCTCTGGCGACGCCGGTTCGAAGCGTGCCGTTACAACAGGCCTCCTCCTCCTCCTGCCCCATCCCTCCCCGAAGGTCGCGCCTGTGATCGGGGCGGGGGCGCGGCCGCGCAAAAGCGCTCGTCCAGAGCATGCAGGAGTCCCCCCCCGGCCGCAGGCCGTAACGCCCTGGGAACGGAGGACGCTCCGCGGAGGAGGGCCCAGGCACAGAGAGCGCGAGGGTACGCCATCCAGGGCTGGGGCTGCTCTTAAGCCTTGTGCCAGGGGCTGGCGAATCAGCTTTAGGTCGGGCATGTCCTGCTACAGACGGATTTGGGACGAAACATACAACAGAGTCTAAATTATTCGAAGTCAGAAGTAGTCACTACAAGTTGTTTGACAATTTTCGAATACTCCTCCTGTAGAGGGACAGGCCCGACGTAAAGCTAGCTCACGTAACTGGTTATCACGGCACCTCGCGGCGCCGGTGCATCGAGGAAAGCGCCAGGCGGCGCAGGCGAACCCAACTGCACGCGGCAGATATGTCGTACCTCCCGCTCTCACCGTGCAACCCTTCCGTCCCACCCGCTGCGAGCGTTAAGTCGGGCACGTCCCTCTACAGGAGGAGTATTATTCAAATGGGGACGATTGTTAGAATATGGTTGTACCCTGTTTGCATATTCTTGACTATGCTTTATGCGTCGTCCGAGTCTCCCTGCAGGAGGACACGCCCGACCTAATGCGAACGAGGCCCTTTGGTACACGCGCCTGAGGAAGGAACCCAAGCAGGGCAGGGCTGCTTCGGGTATGAACGCCTGGGGCTGCTCAGCAAACGCTTATCATGAGGTCGGCATCTGCTTCCCTCTCCCGCCATCTCAAATTATCCTCCTCCTACTGAGACTGAGGTGAAGGAGGACGAGGGGAAAACGAACAGGGAGGGAGACGAGAGAAGGGAGATCCTCCCTTCCCCCGTCCCAAAACCCTGCCCATTGACTTGCCATCTCCATCCTCCCTTCCCTCACTCATCCCCGCTGGTCCTCCCTTCTCCCGCTCCTGCGCAATCCCCCTTCTTGGGGGAAACAACGTTGTTGGTCTCTCGATTCCAGATCCTCCTGCTCCTCCTCATCTTCCTCCTCCTGATCCTCCTCCTCCTCCTCATCCTCACGTGTTTCCGTCCTCCTTCATTCCTTCCCTCCTGCGTCTCCTCCTCCTCCTCCTCCTCCTCCTGCGTCTCCTCCTCCTCCTACTCCGTCTCCTCCTCCGTCTCCTCCTCTTCCTCCTCCTCCTCCTTCCCGTCGCCTTCCTCCTCACCCCGCCTCCTCTACGTCCCCCGTTTCCTCCTCCTCTTCCTCCTCCTCCTCCTCCTTATCCTTATCCTTATCCTCCTCCTCCTCCTCCTCCTCCTCCTCCTCCTCCCCTCCTCCTCCTCCTCCTCCATTCCATCCTCCGCCTCATCCACCTCTCTACCCTTCCCCGCCTTGCCCCCTCCTCCTCCTCCTCCTCCTCCTCCTCCTCCTCCTCCTCCTCCTCCTCATCCTCCTCTTCCTATTCCTCCTCCTCCTTCTCCTCCCCCTCCTCCGCCTTCTCCTCCTCCTCCTCGTCCTCGCTGCTGCTCTCCTCCTCATCCTCCCCCTACTCCTCCGTCCGTAGCCATTTTGTCTCAAGCCGCCCACCATCGGGCGAACCCCCTGGGCTCGAACTGGCGTGTCATGCGTCCGCTCCGGTGTCGACGGAGTTGCTCTGCTTGGGCATGGCGCCACGGGATCCGCCCCGTCGAGGCGCAGCAGCAGCGCGGACCGCCGCAGACAACCTGGTGAAGAAGCTCCTGCGCCAGCTCGACGTGCTCGGCAGGGAGCTGCAGAGGCTGCACTCTCTTCAGACCGGATCCGCCGAGGAGACCGCCCGTCGCCGCGGACACACCGCACTTCCTGCCCTGCGCTCCCTCGTGGCAGGGGGTCGACATTCTGGTGGCCGTCGCTGGCCATCGCTCGGACGTCCATTCCCTGTGCTTTTTGTCGGTCTCGTGCGTGGCTTTTCGCCAAGTGACCAAGGATGCTCCTCGATAGTCCTCGCCGAAGGAAACATGCACACGTCCGAGCGATGCCAAGGTCGTCTGCGACGGAACGCTGCATGGCATGCAGCGGTAGGCCCGAGCGCTGGTGCCCCGCTTGAAGCACGGGTCGCAGCCCAGGCGGGGCCTCGCCTAGGCGCTGGCGTCCCCTCGGCGACACCCTGCGTTCGGGGGGGCACTGCTATGCGGCGCCCGGCGGGCCGCAGCGCAGCGCGGAGGTCGAGAAGCAGGTTGGCCCACAGCACGGTGCTCAGCGGCTCCGCCTTCTGCTCCAGGAGCTGGCGCTGGTGGTGCGAGCAGTGTGGACGGCCTCCTGGACCTCTTGGCGCCTGCTGTCGAGCTTCTCGCGTGCAGCCTCCACCCCTCTGCCGCGGATGGCTCGGAGGGTGGCGGTGCAGCGCTGCAGCACGACTGCGAAGCACAGAGCATGGGGCAGATGTATGAGGTCAAGCCGAACTCGCCCTTTTTCACGTCCAGTATGTGCGAGGAGCATCGCCAGTTCACCGAGTACGAACTCAACGCGGTGTCGGACGCCCTGGTCGTAAGCGTGAGGGCCGACGTGCCCCCAGGCTGGCAGGCGCCCGCTGGCGACATTCCTAATATTGACGGTCTTCCGTGCACTTGGCATGGTCCCAGAGCTGCTGCCCATCCTGTCGTTTTTCCCCAGGCCATGTTCCGCGGGGTTGTGAACGAAGAGGAGTACGGCTCCAGCGAGCAGTGCTGTGGTCACAAGGGTACTCCGCTGGGCGCTCGCTCCAAACAAAATGCCAAGGTGAGGAAATAATCGGCTTCTTCTGCGACGTGGACGGGGCCTCGTCGCGGCTGCCTCGACCATCCCCGCTCTGGAGTTCCTCTTGCCCGAGCTGCTGGACGAGCTCACGGACCCGTTTTTTAAGTGGGCGTGGTTGGGTGTAAGACAATATCCTCCTCATCCTCCTCCTCCTCCTCCTCCTCCTCCTCCTCCTCCTCCTCCTCCTCCTCCTCCTCATCGCTCTTCATCCTCCTCCCTGCCTTTTATTATTCTCTTCCTCCACCTGCACTTCTCCTCCTCCTCCTTCTCCTTCTCCTTCTCCTTATCCTTATCCTTCTCCTTCTCCTCCTCCCTCTGCCTTCCATCCTCCTCATCAGAATCCGCAGTATCCTTCATCCTATCCCTCGTGTCTGCCCTTCTCCTCCTCCTCCCCCTCCTCCTCCTCCTCCTCCTTCTCGTCGTCCTCCTCCTCCTCTCTGCCCTTATCCTCCTCTTCCTCCTGCTCCTCCTCCTCCTCCTCCTCCTCCTCCTGCTCCTCCTCCTCCTCCTCCTTTCCCTCCTCCTCCTCCTCCTCCTCCTCCTCTGCCCTCCTCCTTCCTTCCCTCCTTCCTCCTCCTCCTACTCATCATCAGCATCCTCATCCTCCTCCTACCCCTCCTCCACACTTACACAATATGAATACATTATCCTCTCCCCCCTGGTGGCGTCCGGGGAATGTCCAGCCCCCTCCGCGTACGGGTTGTTTACACACAAGATTCCCGGGAGTTTGGTTGTCGCTTGTTGTTTGTTCCAAATGCAGCTCTCGCTGAAGCGCTGGCTTCATTTTCGGGCTACCGCTCGTTCCGAATCGTGCTCCCGCTGCACCGCTGGCCTCACTTCCGCGTTTCCGCTTGTTCCGATTCGTGCTCCCGCTGCAGCGCTGGCGTCATTATTTCGAGTGCCATGCCACGGCATGGTTTTCGGTCCTTCCAAATAGGCCCCAGAACCTAAAAAATGGACCCCCGAAAAAAACCGTCGGAAGTGATTACACATTCGGTGTCGATTCGTAGTGGGACCGCAGAAGCCCCCCCGCAAAACATTGGGGCGTCGCCACGCCATGTTATGTCAGGCTACGCGTCCTCATTTCCGAGCTTCCGCGCCGAATTGCTGTTCTCGCTGAAACGCTGGCCTCATTTTCAGGCTACCGTTCGTTCCGAATCGTGCTCCCGCTGCACCGCTGGCCTCGTTTCCGCGTTTCCGCTCGTTCCGAGTCGCCACCTTGGAGCGTCGCCACGCCATGCTATATCATGCCACGCGTTGATCGTCGACACCATGCTATGCCATGTGATGCCACGCCATGTTACGACATCGGATTGTGCGAATAGAGAGGAGTCTACGCCATGGTAAGGGATGGGAGGGAGAGGTAGGACGTCAGATATGACGCGAGCGCACCTAGCTTGTCCTCCTCCCCTCCCTCCCTCCCGCCCTCCCGCCCTCCCTCCCTCCCTCCCGCCCTCTTTCCCTCCCCCTCCTGCTCCTCCTCCTTCTCCTCCTCCTCCTCATCCTCCTCCTCCTTCTCCTCCTCCTCCTCCTCCTCCTCCTCCTCCTCCCGGCTCTGCTCCTCGCGTTGGGGGGGGGCCAAGAGATACCCATACCGCTCCTCCCTGAACCTCGCCTAGCACGACGAAGCACTTGCGGGACCCGTGGCCCTCCACTTTCCGCCGTGGCGATCCCCCGGCTCCACGACGGCAGGGGGAGGGGCAGGAGGAGGAGGAGGAGGAGGAGGAGGAGGAGGAGGAGGAGGAGGAGGAGGAGGAGGAGGAGTGAGAGAGGCGGGAAGCAGTAGTGAGGAAGGGGGCGGGAAGGGAGGAGGGAGTAAGCGGGTGGAGGGAGAAAACGGGAGGAGGGAGGGAAGGAAAACACACATACTGAGCCCGTCCACAAACAATGATCATGCGACGTCAACCTTCTGGCTTGGCCGGGGAGGCGTATGGCATTAACCAGTCCTGGGATCAGGGTCGCACTAGCCAGGATCAATGAGGCGATAAGTTGATGTCGACCGAAAAACAATCACCGAGAAACACGTGACAAACAAAGAGCAGAGACACCCCTACTATTCGTCTTCCTCGCCATACTCCTCCTCATCCTCATCCACTTCCTCCGCACCATCATCATCGGTATCATCATCATCAGAATCACCAGCAGCAGCATCATCATAGTTATATTATCATCATCACCACCACCACCATCATCATCATCATCATCATCATCAGCAGCAGCAGCATCAACATCATCATCATCATCATCATCATCATCATCACCATCATCATCATCATCATCATCATCATCATCATCATCATCATCACCATCACCATCACCATCACCATCACCATCACCATCACCACCATCATCATCATCATCACCATCATCATCATCATCAGCATCAGCATCACAATTCATCATCATCATCATCATCAGCAGCAGCATCATCATTGTTTAAAAGACATCATCATCATCATCATCATCAGCATCATCATCATCATCAGCATCATCATCATCATCATCATCGGCATCGGCGTCGTCATCATCACCATCATCATCAGCATCATCCTCAGCATCACCATCATCAGCAGTATCATCATCAGCATCAGCATCATCATCATCAGAATCATCAACATCACCAGCATCAGCAGCATCATCATCGGCATCATCATCAGCAGCACCATCAGCATCATCATCATCAGCAGCAGCGTCATCATCATCCGCATCATCATCAGCATCATCATTATCATTATCTGTATTAACATCATCATGAACATCATCAGCATCATCAGCATCAGCATCAGCATCTTCATCATCAGCAGCATCATCAGCATAAACATCATCAGCATCATCAGCAGCAGCATCATCAGCATCACTAGCATCATTCTCATCATCAACCGCAACATGAACATCATTGTCCTCCTCCGCATCATCATCATCAGCAGCATCATCAGTATCCTCCTCCGCGTCATCCTCATCAGCATCAGCAGCATCACCATCAGCATCAGCATCAGCATCAGCATCAGCATCATAATTCTAAACATCACAACCATCCTCATCATCATCACCACCACCACCAGGACCACCACCACCACAATCATCATCATCACCACCACCACCACCACCATCACCATCATCGTCATCATCATCAGTAGCGTCATCATCATCATCTTCTACATATTAAAAACAACTTCATCTTCTTCATACTCTTCTTATCATCATCAGTACCATCATCGCTATCACAATCAATCAGCATCGCTATCATCAGCAACAGAAGCGCTACCATCATCATCACCACCATCACCACCATCCCCTGAGATCCCACGTTACGAAACAATACACCATCGTCAACAAAAACTGGACTGGACCCTGGACCATATCTTGCTGCGGCAGATTTAGAATCGGATTGATCCGTGAGGGTCCCGTCGACCGAAACGCCAGTTGCCAGAAAAGTGTGACGCCAGGATTTCAAAATCCTCCTCCTCCTCTCCACTTCCTCTTGCCCTCCTACCCTTCAACAACATCATCTTCCTCCTCCTCCCCCTCCCCCTTCTCCTCCTCCTTCTCCTCCTCCTCCTTCACCTCCCCTTGGGGGAACCAAAACGGTCTGGTGACCACAGCGCGTGATGAGTCAGTGGGGATTCGGGGTCACCACACGGTTTTGGGACTCCGAGGGCATTTCGGGCAAGACCGTGCGGTGACTGACCGCGCGGTGAGTTTTCTTGGGATCGAGGTCACCACGCGGTCCGTCAGCACGCGGTTTTCGGACCCCCGATCCTCCCCCTTAACAAAACCAAACCCTTCCTCTCCTCTCCTCTCCCTCCTCCCCCCCCCCTTTCTCACCCTCCTCCTCCTCCTCTCCACGCTCTTCCTCCCCTCTCTGCCTCTTCTCCTTCTGACCCTCCTCCCCTCCTCCTCCCTCATCAGCACAAACGGAAAACCCTAAGGGACCGATACCGCTACTCCCCAGACCTCTCCTGGGGTGCGTTCTGAGCCCGATTTCGAGGCCCAAAAATAAAACGGCATAAACATGAATGTTCGACGGTCCGCGCGGATTCTTGGATCTGCGCTGGACCCCCCTCCCTGGCGCGCGGAGCGCGCCAGGGGCGGCGCCGGAGGCGCCCCCAGGAGGGCCCAGCGCGGATCCAAGAAATCCGCGCGGGGCGCCAACAGTTTATGCTTATGGCGACGACACACGTATCAATATATATATATATATATAACATAAAATCGCGACTGACTAGCTACCAGACCACCCCAACCCAACCCGAAGACCCCAATTTCTGGTTGGGGGGGGGGTACGGGTTCCAGAGGTGTGTTTCGTTCCACCGGAAATGGAGGGCAAATTGAGGCCTTCGGGCTGGTTTGGGGTGGTTTGGTGGGCGGAGGCGACGGCCCCGCCGCGCCTGGGCGCGGGCGCGCCGCGCGGGCAGCCTCGGCCGCGCGCCCGCCGGCGCCGGGCGAGGGGCCGCCCCGCGCCGCGCGCGCATCGGGGCGCCGCCGCCGGGGCGCCGCGGCCCCGCTGCTCGGGGGAGGAGAGGGGCCCGCGGCCCGGCGACCCTCCCCAGATTCCCCTATTCCTCCTCCCTCCTCCTCCTCCTCCTCCTCCTCTCCTCCTCGTCCTCTTCCTCCTCTCGTCCTCTTCCTTGTTGCTCCTGTTGCTCCTGTCCTCCTCCTCCTCCTCCTCCTCCTCCTCCTCCTCCTCCTCCTCCTTCTCCACCTCCTCCTCCGCATCCTCCTTCTCCTCCTCCCTCCGCCCTTCTTCCTCCGTCTCCTCCTCCTTCTTTTCCTCCTCCGCCTCCTCCTCCTCCTTCTCCTCCTCCCCAGACCCCGCGGGCTGCGAACAAAATCACGAAGGGAGGATTTTCATTATTTTC